CGCGCGCACACGTCCCTTACTTTCTCGGGAACCCGTTACCCGAAACTTAGTCACCGCGCCTTTTCTTACAGATTGTAGACCCCTTAAGCGTATCCGCTGTTGGGGAATGATGACTATGACGACGAAGACGACGACAACGACGACCACGACCACGACCACGACCGCGACGACGAAAACGCCGGCGGCGGCGACGACGACCACGACGACGACGACGACGACGACGAGGACCACGACCACGAGGACCACGACCACGAGGACCACGACCATGAGGACCACGACCACGAGGACCACGACCACGAAGACGACGACCGGAAGGACGACGACGACCACGACGACCACGAGGACGACGACCACCACGACCACCACGACCACCACGACCACCACGACCACCACGACCACCACGACCACCATGACCACCACGACCACCACGACCAATACCACAACCACAACCACTACGAGCGCCGCGACAACCACGACCCCCACGACCACCGCGACCACCACGAGGGCGACGACGACAACGACGACAGCGACAGCGACGACGACGACGACGACTACTACTGCTGCTGCTGATACTGCTACTGCTACAGCTACTGCAACTGCTACTTCTTCTAGTGCTGCTGCTGCAGCTACTGCTACTACCCTAGCGCTACTGCTACTGCTACAGCTACTCCTGTTGCTACTCTTACTCCTACTGCTGCTGCTACTGCTACTGCTGCTGCTACTGCTACTGCTGGTGCTACTGCTACTGCTGGTGCTACTGCAACTTCTGCAACTGTTGTTTTCCCAGGCCCGCACAACTCCCACATTTGTAAACTAACAGCAGGTGGACGGTGTGCGGGAGTCTGTTGAGATTGCCAAGAAGCTCGTGTCAGTTGTGGTTTGGGATCTCAGAGGTATGTGTAGGGATATGTAGGACTGATGAAGGTCCTGAGCCAGCTTGTTGAACATCAATTTTTGAGCAGGCTACAGCTGGGGGATTCCCAGCAGATAGGGAGTGCCATGCAGGATTGGGATTGCAGTGTGGAGGAGGCTGATTAAGGTGGCCAGCCTTGGATAATGCAAGGGATTTGTGAAACCAGCTTTTTTTGTTTTCAAGATAAAGCCCTACTGCTCGTGCAGATTATGTCACGGTTCTTAACTTGTTTTTTTTGTGGGGACCTTAGCGGGGATTGAAAAGAGGGATATGGGACATCTGGTCAAATGCAAGCTTCCTACAGAGGTGCTCCAAAAGGTATCCCGTTTTGTGGGATGCGTGAAGTGCTCCCCTGGTTTCGGAAGCTGCTACTTTGGATTGACATGTGGCGTTCTTGTGATTGTTTCCGCTGAAAAACTTTTAAGAGATGTGTCCATCTGACAAGTACAAATAGTTGCCCCTCAAACTGTTCAACTGTTTCAGACCGCTCTCTGTAACCCCCACGAAATCTTCCAAAAGCTTTACGCAAGATTATGCCCAGGAAGCATGGGGCCAGAGGATTCCTTTACACCTCCTCGGCAACATGCATTCTAGATGGAGAGACCCTGGCCTTTCTTGATTTGATCAGGAAGTTTGGAGACAAAAGCTGTTTTTCATGAAAACTTTGAGCAGCACGAGAAATCTCCAAACTTTCATCGCACCAGCTCAGTGGTTGAGGTTTGGGTCTTGCAGCTTGCAGGCAGTGAACGGGGCCTCCCTGGTAAGAGTCCATGAATATGAAACCCCCTTCACAAACTCTGAAAAGCGCAGTGTTTCTCTAGCCAAATTTACTTGAAAAGCTGGCCGTTACTCGAGTCCCTGCTGGTGTCGAGGTTTCCTTCAAAAAGCATAGTCAACACAATTAAGGATTTTGCCTGTTGTTTCAGCGTTCCCCTTATGATCCTTGGCAAGGGTATATCCCGAGGCTAGTTTTTGAGAACACGTGAGTGCCAGCTCTTCTTGCTTAATGTTCTGGGGGAAAATGTCTCTGAGAGGAAAGCAGCTGCCAAAGCACCTAGAGCTGCTGTGCAACCTAAAGTTGGCACTGTACTTCATCCTCCTGCTGCATTAGCCAAGCCAGTCCTCCTGATTCTCAAATGACCAGAATCCTTGTAGAAGTGTTTAGCAGCGTCTGGCTGTTGCTGTCTCTGCTGTTGTTGTAGCACTGCTGTTGGGTAGTTAGCATTGCTCGCAGGCGAGTTGCCTAGAATCACCGGTGTTTTTCGAAGAACTTTTCATGTGAGGCTCCCGGTGCTCTTTGGGAGCCCAGTACTCAATACCCTTCAATTGGGGCCTTTGCCTGAACTTGATAGACGGACGCCTCCCTCGTACATGTACATTTTTTGCATTAATCAAGGGGAGGCTGGGCATCAGATTTCCGAGGAATGACGCCCCTGCAGAGGGAGTTGACGAAGATGCACCCTATCCCAAGGTAAATATGGACACCTACACGACCACCAAGGCAGATTGTTTCTCAAAATGGGTGGTGCCGGCTTGGAAAGGATACTCCTGTTTGGAGTATACAGTGGACCTCATTGTCGAGAGATGTGAAAGGGCAGGGCTGGCGAAGAAAGAGAATCATGATGTTGTTGAGATCTGTTTGTCGACAGAACAAGGCAGAATGGGTTCTTCAAACTGAAGATTGCCAGCCACAGTGACGGTGTTGATGTAGCAGGTTCTTTTATGCGTTCTGCGCACTGAGGCCTTACCACGAATTCCATCTCTCAGTTTGGAAACCCACCCATTGCAGACCTCAACGTAACAGACTCCCGAAATGGCAAACATGCTCACTGTCCTGCGTAGAGGTCGCAGCCGAGAAGATCGTTTCTGCTGCGCATAGCCGAGACTTCTACACTGCCATTGTCCGCCCAGCGGGCATCATGGGGCCTGGTGACAAGGCCGTGACTCTAACGCTGGGGGATAGGGTTCAAGGTGGTGGAGTTAAGGACTAGTTTTTTGTGGTTGGCAGTTCTGGATAGTGAGATTTCTTTCAACATGCTCGACAAGCTGTTGGTTGTGTTGCAGAAGGTCACGTATGAAGCTTCGTGGCTTTTGAGTTTTCATCAGAAGAAGGTGGCTGGCTGCAAAGATCAAAGACGGACGGCGCACCCTACAGTTTGAGATTAATATCTGGAGGGCCTAGGTTTTTCGGAATGTTTTTCTCGGTTTTTCTTTTGGTGGCTCTGGCATGGAGCATCTTCACATTCCGCTTTTTGTAGGGAGCATCCTAACAGTTTGCTGCTTGGCTTTGGGGCTTCTTGGCTTGCTAGCATGGATGTTGATGCTGTTACGAAATCATAGGGAAAGTCTGGAGAATCACGTGGAGGCAAGCCGTAAGCTGGAAAGCTAGCTGGAGGCAAGGCGAAAGGTGATGCAAGCGAGGATTACAGGAGCTGGAAAGCAAGGGTAGAATGATGGCCAAGGCCCAGGTGCGGGTATAGGTGACAGAATTGCAAAGGCAATAGCAAAGGTTATGGTTTCTTGGCTTTTTGGTTTCTTGGCTTCTTTGCTTTCTAGTTTCCTGGCTTTGTGGTTCTTGGTTTTGTGGTTTCTTGGCTTTTTGGCTTCTTGAGTTTTTTGGCTTCTTGACTTTGGCTTCTTGGCTTTGCGGCTTCTTGGCTTTCTCTCTTCTTGTCTTTCTTTGTTTTTGGTTTCTTAAGACTGTTTTTGACACTCGCTTTTGACACTCTCGGGAAGAAATCCAGGTTCTGTTGTTCTGACTTACGACGCACAGGGGTTTGTTTTGCTGGGCTTGAGGTATTCCTGCATCCAAACTCCTAGCAGCCTATGCCTTGAAACCCATCAAGGCATGCAACCAGCAGGAGCTGGTTCTGACTATGCCAGCTGGCATAGGGGCACCACAATCAAGTAGGGAATCAGAAAGGGACCATGGCTTGCAGAACAGACCGTTTGAGAGAACATTGCTAAACTGAGCAAGGAGCTACGTGTTGTCAGGCTCGTCAATGTTTTTACAAAAGGTGGACTGCGCCCCCCCCAACCCCCCGCTCTCCATTTTCAAACGAGATGGACTGCTTCACGGAACGTTGTGAGACAGCCAAAATACGTATTGTCGATCTCGTCCGCGACCCCCTTACCTCCCCGCTTTTCATTTGCATGTTTTCATTTGTTGTCCATGCTTTTGCAAATGGTCGGGCTGGGCTCCCGCCGATCCCCGTGCTTTTCATTGAATCAAAAGCGAACCAAGCTGCTTGGACGAACGTTGCTAGACTGAGTAAACTGCTACATGTTTTGAATTTTCTGCGATGTTTTCGCAAACGGGGGGCTACGCTCCTGCCACCCCCCGCGCTTTTAATTTAAGAGCAAAGCAGACTTCGTGGGAGAACGTTGTTGCTAGATTGAGCAAAGAGCTATATGTTTTCATTTTTGTCCACCGCGCCGCACCCAACCCCTGCTTTTCGTTTTAAAGCGAAACAAGCTGCTTGGGATATCGTTTTTAGATTGAGCAAAGAGCTACATGTTTTGATTTTCGTCCATGCTTTTGGCGGGAGATTGTTTCAAGGCGCAGCAAAATTTCACTTTGTACGTCCCAGAACCGAATGCCCGCAGCCAGCATTCCCAGCATTCTCGCAATTTGTTGTCAAATGGAGCTGTTGCTTGAAACGTCCACATGTCTTGCTTCGAAATCGAGCTCTCTTGTGGAGCATTTTGACATCTTACTTGAAAACCAACCTCTCACCTGGAGTGTCCTCCTCGAAATTGAGCTTTCGTGTAAAGCGCCCTCTCATCTTGCATCAGGGTGGAGCTCACAAACACCCCAGCGTTTCATGGCGCATAGTTGCGAGTACCGTTGAACAGCTGTGGCCGTGGCGTGCGTGGCGTGAGGTTTCAGGCAGTGCGTGTCTTTGGCCTTGTGAAGTATGACCTGACAGAAGCACAGGGCAAAGAAAGCCCTTTTATAGAGAGAAAGGAAGCCGGTTCAAGTAGGGTGAATGGTACACATGTGCAGAGAATCAGCTTGGGCTGGTGCGCACTGGCTGTAAAGTTTGTGCAAGGCCAGTTAAAGCAGGGCTGCCGACAAGCTTGGTTGGAATCTTGTGTGGTTGCCAGCAATGCCCATGCAAAGAACTGCGCGTGACTTGCTAGAAGATTCACGGCAGACTTCCCGAGAATGTCTCAAGTGGCATGTGTTGCAAGCTGTACGGTCAGAGCTCCCCGTTACAAGTTTCCAGACGTGCCCCAAACATTCTTTTCGCCTTACTCTAATGGCTCGTCCTGGCAAGGGGACTCCTTCAATTTTAACCTGAGTCCTGGCCCTGATATCCCAATACTTTAGCACTCTAATCGCTGACTCTTGATGCTCAGTGCCCTGGAATCCCAACGTCATCCATCAAAGGTTGTTCAAATTATGGTGTATTGAGGGGCCTCATTGAAGGGAACCCGCAGAGGAGACCAACTTTGACAGGCCCCCTATCATTGATTCCTTCAAGCCTCAACAGTGGGCTGGACTGGTGTCACCAGGTATTATACGACAAGCGGAGCAAAGGCGAGGACAATGTGTGGATTCGAGGAACCTCGGCCTTGGCATTTTCAGTTTGACTTTGGTAACGACTTTTTGCATTTAAGGGTATATCAGGTAGCAATGCTCGCGAAAACATACTAAGATGTTTTTTCTGGATGACCTTGCAATCTGTGAACCCAAGATCGGGCTAGGAAAAGGAAATGGTGAGTGTTTGCTGGATATGGTCGGAGTGGATGCTGTAGCTCTTGGTCATATCATGGCCTTGAATGAGCTTCTGAAAGTGGACGGCACTCTCCGCAAGCCGCAGACCACCATCATGAACCTCTCAGCTGGCAACTAGCCCATGAGCGCAGCAGAATTTCGCAGCAGAGCCGTCATATAAGCCAACCCAGAAGATTTTTAGCTTTTAACCAGCGAAAGGGAGCCGTAACAACAATCATGCTCAGGAGTCTTAGGATCACCCATACGAAGCATCCCGAACTGGTGGTTGCAACCTAATGAGCTTTGGAGCTTTTTTGTTCCCAGCACTTAGAGGCATGCATGAGGGCAAGCTTCATGAAATACAACTGAGGCAAGGGGATACAGTACAAACAGATGATTGGTAGCGAAGCTGAGAAGGATGGCAAAAACTTCTGGGGCCACCCTCCAGCCCAGCCTGTTCCGGCTAAAGTCGTGCAGTGCTTGGCTTTTGTTAATGAGACTTGGTGCAACATTTTTGGGAAAGCTCTGCTGAGCCCATTCCTCGCGCGTGTGAGCTTGAACTTCACACAGCGAACTTACGTCTTTTCCAACAAGTGACTGGGCTTACTTCAGGACCATTTTCTCTTACTTCCGACCACCAAGATCTGAGGCCATGGTGTTCCTAATTAAGGGGCAAGCACGCTCAGGCCCTGAAAGGCGCAAAAGCTGTCTTGAACCAGAGACCAACTTCAACCATTTCACAGGCACATCTTGCGAGGCTTAAAACATCTGAGCCCGTGCAATCTTTAAACATTTTGATATGGGTACCTTTGCGAGGGCATCATTACCGGGAGTGCAAGATGTTCATTATCATTTGCAGCGTTTTTTGATCGACTTCTGACCAGAGGAGAATCAGTGATCGTTGTCATCCTCCCTGCCCTTCTCCAAGCCCATCCCTTTGGTCCAAAAATGTTAGACCACTTGTTCACCCAAAGATCGCCTTCAATGGTTTGAATACAAGCCGTCTTGCATTTGTCGTCGGATTTTTGCCTTCGTCCATTCCTGGTCAAATTTTGGTGCCTGGGCTTGGCCGGGGCTTGCAGGAGGAGCAGTTGTGGTCTTCTAGGAGAAGTCATAGCAAGACTACGACCAGCACCAAGGTTCCATAAGCAGTACGAAGATCATGGAACGATTGTCATTGCTTTACTTCACACAGCATGGGTGTCACTGAGGAGGGCGCGAGATTTTTTGGGATGGGAGCCCGAGGATGATGACATCAGGGATACCATGAGACACTGGGATGGACATTGGAAGGTCAGTTCAGAGATACAGCTTCAGGGTCAAGAGGCTCAGGGCAAATTTGCCGTGTCTAGGACTTGAGTTCATGGTGTTGAATCATGAGAGGCTAAGTGGCTCGTATGGACGTTGGCTTCACCTGACCCTTTCTTCCTTACAAGGCCCTCGCACAACAATCTAAAGCCGTGCATTACAACTGTTAGCTTGGCGGCCTTCTCATGCATTGGGGTTTCGCTGTATGCCGGAGTACTGTCAACGTTGTTACACAAGTTCCCCACGCACGGGGGCAAGCTAACAAAGTGACGCTGGCTGCAGCCGAAGGAGTGGGAACGGGTTCCATACTCCTGACGCATAGAACTGCTAGGTTGACTTGGCATGCATTCCACACCCCTTGCCTCATAAGGGTCTAGGGAAGTTTTTCTTGATGTTCAACCAAGGAAAATATTTGCGCCGAGATGCATCTCACCACAAGGGATGATCTGCTCCGGGTGTTGATCATTTGCTGTTTTTGTAGTAGACCTTTTGTTGGTCCCGTTTCCATTCATCAACTCATGGATAAGCCTACTGGGCAGCATCCCGTGAACACGAGCTTTTGCTTGAGATTTTTGAATTTCCGTGTTTAACGAATCAGTTTTCAACAGATGTGTGCACTTTTCTTCCTGCAAAGCTGCAGGTATCGAACATGCACGCAAGTGATAAAAATGCAGGCCTCCTTTGCACATGCAGCAGTATACTATCCCCGTCATTGCTATCTGCTTTCAGGAAGGGAGCATGCAGAGTTGCCACTGTTTGGTTGTAGCTACGCCACATTTGATTCGTAGGCATTAACACCCCAGGCTTGCTGAAGTCGATCTATGCAATATGTTGTAAGCGATGCTGCAGCAAGTGAGCATGCATGGCCAAAACGTTAAGCAAAAGCAAGGCACATTTTCAGGTAATGACGGCAGGTGTGTGTGTGTGTGCGACACACTGGACGCAAGCAATAAGCCTTTCAGAGAGATCTCTGTAAAGGTAGCCTATCCGGGATCATCCGGGCAGAGTACTCCCGAACAGTCGTTTCTTACCGTTTCGTCGGCTCTGGCAAGGGTTTACATATCACCAACGGTGGCAAGATTAGACGTATTCATAATTCAAGGTAAGCCGCCTCTCAACATGCGGTTTCAAGTCAGGGGCCATTTGTGGCATGGCCTCAAGGCAAGGGTCCTTTGAGGTTCTCACACCTCCTGATCAATCTGTAGCTTCTTGAAGGATAAGTTGTTGCATCAGGGATTTCCAGAGAGCACCTTTTTCGCGGGCATTTTGTGTGACAGTCTTGTTATTAGCAGCAAGTACAGGAACTCCGCCTGCAGCCACCTTGGCTGATGAAGGCGTCCTAGGGACCGCCACTCTTGCTGCATGATGCAGCCGAGCACCACAACATGCCGAAACCTGAGAAGAGGAGGTAGGAGCAGTAATGGCAGCAATGTTGAAGAGGAAGAGGAGAAGGAGGACGAGGAGGAGGACGAGAAGAAGCAGGAAGTCATATTAGCCGGAGCAGGAGCGGCAGCAGTACCAGTAGTTAACAATTGCCAGTTTCTGGTCACAGAAGCCTACCTTCCGTGTATCAGGAAAGCGTCTAATGCAGATTGTGGTCATAAGAGGGATGGACGGGAGATATCATTTTCACGACCTTTGCGGTATTGAGGGTTTCAATAGTGATAATAGTGTTTCCTTATGCTTTGTGATTCACCTTGAGGGAGGCTTCTTGCATGCTTGATGTAGCTGTGAACTACTCTTCCCCTCAAGCTCTTCTGGCACTGTAAGACCGACTTGGCTTCTGCTCGTCTCAAGATTTCCGTTCTCATGAAATCTAGTGCAGAGTTTTCAGTACAGAAGGGTGGACCCTTTTGGTTCTTATCATTTGAACTATCTGGGGCCAACTTACGGCACATCAACAAGATTTGTGTTCACATGTGCCTTACACCACGTGTTGTTTTTTGATGTGGACACATGATACCACCCAGAGCCTAGAGCTCAGAGGCAATGTGGAATGTGTGTTGAAGGTGAGTTCTGTCTTTATTTGCCTAGCTGACGAGCAGGGAATCATCTTTGGGCTTTCCTCCAGGCAGGGTGTTGCCTGTGATAAGCTGGTAAGAATACGGAGGGTGTTTTTGACACCATGTCTCATTTTTTGGACCCTCTGGGCAGGAATCTGGGTCCGCTAAGGTTGGTTTCCATCGGAGGCGAGCCTGAAGCGGGACAGTTTCAATGACATTGCCATGGCCTCGGTCAAGGAAGCTGGATTGTAGGGTCACAGAGCACGCGAAGAACTGATGTAGGCAGTGGCCAGGCAGCTACTTGTCATGGAGGACGGCGTGGCTGGCTGCAGCAATATCTGCGCGACCCTTCCTTTCCATAGATCAGCCTAAGAGACCCTCGCAAACACTCATGATGCATGCCCTCAGAAGCGATTTTGTCACTCCTACTCTGAGAAATTTTCATATCAGCCTTTGTTTCCACGACATTTTTTGCTGCTTCTTGGACTCTCCTGCGCTCCAGTACCAGGAAGGTGAGAATTGGTAGGATAATTTTGCCGGAGTAGCGACTTGGCCCGGAATGCTATGTGTCAGCTTTTTGTAGGCCTCCTTCTGGATCTTTGCGTTTCTTTGCGTTTGGCTTCTGCCATCGGGGATTCAAAGGAGGAGTTTTGACTTGGATGCTTAACATGTTTGTTTGTCAGGAAAACTATGTTGCCAATCCTTTAGCTTTGCATTTTGTATCTGAGTTGGTCTTCGCTCCAAAGCGGCTTGCAGAGGTTCGGCACAAGGTGACCAATGCCCCAAGGCTGTTGATGTCCTGCCGGCCAGATTGATTCGTCATTTCTCAAGCATGGTTGTTTGCAAGAAGTTTGCTGCATTTTATGGTTCTGTAGGATGACATAGAGGATGTGTACTGGTTTGCACGGAGGCATATTCTTCACAGATCTGTAGCACGGAGTGTCCAGAGTATGATCATGACATCCTGAATCGGACCTGTGAGGATAAGCCTGGGATGCTGCGAGCTCTCTTTTGATGGCCTTCAGATTTTGTTGTTCAATCCTGCTTTGCAACGGAAGTGTGTCTGGTTGCTGGGCAGGTTGCCCCTGCCCTCGTCAGCATGTAAACGCACCCTGATCTTCAGGCAGAATCATCTTCAGACAGGGCCATATTGGTATATCCTCGTTCGTTCTCACAGTCTGCAGTCCCGCGGTGTTGTCGTTGGTAGTGCTGCTTGAGCTTGATATGGCCCAAAGCTGTAGCATCAAGCCCATTTCCTTGGATCTGCAATTGCCGCAGCGCAAGTTTCAAACCTTATAGACTAAGAAAACGGTTCGTTTCGCTGTCGTCAGAACTGATGCCGAGACTTCATCAAATGCGCAGAGTGAAAATGGAAGGTCTCTTCCAGGAAATACGGATAAGGAATTCTCCCAGTCCTTGCGGAAGTTAGTTCCAGAAGTGACACCCCCAGCAGAAAAACTTCGCGCTGTTACGCTGTGGCAGGAAAGCCAACGTCATGGGGAGGCCCTCCGCTGCTGACAGAGTTTTTGGATCAGAGCTGCTCTAGATTTCCATTCAGCAGTCAAAAAGTTCATGTTATCTTAAAACTAGCTCATGGCACCTGAAGTACCAGTGCCAGCCACTACTGGGACAATTACTAATATGCCTTCAATTGCCGAGTCCAAAATTCTTCGTATCTTGTCCGCGCTGAGACGTGTCATAATCATCTAGTGATGAGAGATGCCGGCCCTTAGTTGTCCTTTCCTGCATGCAATGACTGTCGTTCAATTTCAAACCCTTGCAGGTAGCATGACGCACCATTCACCATGAAGAAATGCTGGGATTGTTGACGCATGCCCAGTGAGTCAGAAAGCGAGTGCTTGCAGGAATGCCATGACTGAGTTCCCTGCTGTCGGAGACCGCAGCTATCTCACAGCGCTTCTTGGCACCATCACGGCTGAGGATGATTTTCTCTACACTCCCTTGTGGCCAGTTCAGGTTGCAGTCTGGTAGCAGTCTCAAGGGCATCGTGCCTACAGCTGTTAGCACAAACCCTCCGAGTGAAGAGCTGACATATTTGTCGAAGATGCTGCCCCGAGCGTTCACCAATCATATTGCAACCTGATGCATAAGCAGCTGTGCTTCACCAAGCTCAGCATCCCAGATCCAGAAGTTCCAGCTACTCAACCTCACAGTTGCATTTTTGGCTGGGAAAGCCTTGCTTACATTGGATTTTTTGTAAGGGATTGAGAAGTGGACTCCAAATCGACCTCCGCTGCCGCCGCTTCTTCAAAGCCAACAAAGCTTTAGCCCAGGGATGGAGCAGCGAAGTTCTTCCACAGCTCAGGCGTGCGGTTTCAGGAAGACTTGAATGACTTCAGAATAACTTGAGGGTTTTGGGCTCCAAGTCAAGAGGGTTTCGCCTCTTGCGTTTCCGTTTGGGTTATTTTCAGCTTTGTTGTAGATCTGAAGTTGGAGCATTTTTCTTCATCTGACGACAATTGCTGCTACAATGCACGTACGGTCTTGCCCTGCCCTTCTTGGGTTTCTTGCTCCCTGCACATACCGCAAGATGTGGAGTACAGAGCTGCAAGGGCGCATCATGATTTGGACGCCTACCCCACATGTGACTGCTGCGTGATTCTACATGCACGTCCGTATGTAGTCTTGATATTATCCCAGGTAAGACTCCCCGATTAGAACACTGGAGTCATGTGATCTTAGACACGTGAGACATTGATAGATTTCGCGTATGACCATGTCGAGATATGCGTATCATTAACAGGGACATGGTAATGCTTTCAATATTTCGGAGTGGTCAAGCAGCTAAATCAAGAGCGGGTCTGATGCCACACTCTGTCATGCATCACACGTGTTTTGAAACCCCCTTCCTTGAAATTACATGTAAACAGCTGGAACACATGATGTGTTGGGCAGCAGCAAAAGTCCTCTCGTTACGGAGCAGTAGCTAGAGTTCACGAAGCAGTCACATCGAGATTCAGATTTCTGTTATCAGTCAGTTGATTTTATCAGAAGTCTTATGCGGATTATTCAGTTGAAGACCCCATGCTGCTCTGATTGCAAACTTTCCAAAAGCGGTAAGCATTGCAGAAATGGGCCCAAGATGAAAGCATCATGTCCTCTTTCTTATTTGCAGTAGCCCCAATCCTTCGCCTGCAGCGCTGGATTGTTTGGGCAAACCAGTTGTTCGACATCTCTGGCACACATAGTCTTGCTTGGTATTACAACAGAGGGACACGCACATACACGAACTGCAGCCCAGCAAGCTGTTTGTAGAGTTCCAAGATTCTCGGGGCATTCTATTCCTAAATGGACTTCGCGGGAACCAAGCTTCTGGGCTCTGGTGATGGACACAACACGAGAAAGAAGCCTACCATGATAGCAATAGTAGTACGGCTATGAGGGTGGTAGAAGCTTCACAAAATCCATTTTGGACAGATAA